GCAGCTTTCAGAGCAAGCTGGCTTAGGGTGTACATGTGAGCTAAGCTATGAATGGCTACACAATTGGAGAGATGAAGTTTTTTCTTGAGAAACTCGCCACAAAATTCTTTTAAACGAATTAACAAAAACCTAAAATCAAGAAAAAGAGAAAAGATTAATTACATTCTGATGGCATCTTAAATTGTAATGGTGAGGGATGGGTGGGGTGAGTCATGCCTGTAATCCTAGCACTTTGGGAGACCAAGGCTGATGTACTGTTTGAGCTCAGAAGTTTTGAGACCAGCCTGAGCAAGTGTGAGACTTCCATCTCTACCAAAAATAGAAAAAATTAGCCAGGCATGGTGGTGGACTCCTGTAATCCCAGCCATTGGGAGGCTGAGGCAAGAGGATTGCTTGAGTTCAAAGAGTTTAATGATGCCATAGCACACTACCCAGGATGACAGAGTGAGATTCTGTCTCCAAAAAGAAAAGAAAAGAAAAGAAACAAAAGAAATGGTAAAATTAATCTCATTTTATATACAACATCTACAAAATGAAAATCCCCTAAAATTAGAAAACAATGAGCTAAAAAAATATGTTTAAAAACATATTTAGGCTCAGCACCTGTAACTCAGTGGCTAGTGCACCAGCCACATAACATCAGAGCTGGCGGGTTCGAACTCAGCCGGGGCCTGCCAAACAACAATGACAACTACAACCAAAAAATAACCGGGCACTATGGCAGGCTCCTGCAGTCCCAGCTATTTGGGAAGCTGAGGCAAGAGAATTGCTTAGGTCCAAGAATCTGAGGTTGCTGTGAGCTGTGACACCAACAACGCAGCACTCGAGGGCGACATAGTGAGACTGTCTCCAAAAGAAAAAACAAACAAACAAAAAAACATACATAGCTCCTCTACCTGGGCCTCCCAAGAAGCTGGGACTACAGGTATGCAATACTGCACCTGGTTGGAGTTTTTAATTATGTAAGGTTCCCTAAATATATCCTTTAATAAAGTGCAATAGTCCCAAACTTAATTTTCACTTTAATTTGTCCTTGGCAAAGGCAAATTCCAATCCAACTTTCTCTGCCATCCTTTCTTTTTCTTTTCTTCTTTTTTTTTTTTTTTT